ACATGAATCATTGACAACTTCTCACATTTTTGCCAAGTCCTATGTTGACATGTTATTTCTAGATTCCTGATGAAAGGTTTTGGTTCACACAAATCTAAGCATTTTCTTACAATTCTTTCTCAACATTTTAATAGACTTGCCACCTTCTTCTGATCTTAATGATGTAAATATTTTGAATAGTTCACACACCTACAGCCATCTCATGTACAGCCTTGATGATAGAGAACCAAGCTGACATCTGTTCTTGTGTAAATCCATTGTCTTTACCAAACATTCATTAAGTCAAAGAAGAAACTTGACAGGGAGTTATCGCATTTATAAAGGTAGAAATCAGATTATTATAAAATTATGTTCTTCTTAGAGAAGAGTATTATAATGAAAATATTACTAACAACTCTTTTTGCTATAGTATAGTAATAGCATTCTTTTTCTCTTCTTTTCCTTTCTTGTTATGTGTGCATTTGTACTATCTTGCTGACCTGTAATTTATTTCCATTTAACGCTGATGTCAACTGGTTGCCTGGCTCTGTTAGCCCCTATGGTTTCTCCAGGCATCCAGTCTTCTAATTTTATTATCTATATTTTCTGTAATTAGTTCTAAGGCAAGAGACAGTACAAATAAAGATTGTTGTTGTTGTTGTTGTTGTCCAAAAATTAACATTCAAAGTTTGGTAACAAGACATCAAATGCAATGTAACCTCTATATTATAAATATAATTTTGTTTTGGGAGATTTTGAAGATATGCCTTGACAAGTAAAGTTTCTCCTTGTCTCTTTTAGTGGAAACTACTTAAAAGATACTAGTTGTTTTCTGTGAGGGGTGATATCAGATATTAATCATTTGTGGTGTAACTGATTTAATTCACAGACCAGATTACCATCAATTAAATATCTTTACTAAATTTAATAAAGGATATTGTAAAGTGTAATAATACAGATCCACTAGTATGCCCTGCCTGGAATCATCTTTCCAATTGGTTAGATGGAGAATATCAGCTAATAAGCTATATGAAAATAAAAAAAATTCAATTAATTTATAAATACTTACTGAAACAAAAAAAGTCCGTATTCTGTTCATGACTACCTACATGTATGATTGTATAACACTGTTATACTCACTCTCAAGG